ATTTCCTTGATTTACGAGTCGCTTTCAGCACTGATAATTCATTTAACTTCCACGTGCCAACATTTAACCAAGAAGTTGGTTTCCTTGCTGTTGGAGTGTCAGTGCATCTGAATGCTCTGTCTATTGAGTATTCCCTTCTTCTTTTCCATTCAGTTTGGCCAAATTGCCGTATTGTGTGTTAGACAATCAAACCTTCAGGGAAGGACCCAGTCTGGCATGGTTTTGATTGTTGCACAGGTCTTGGGTGAGGTTGTTAGCTCAGCTGGATGGGGGAAGTTTGCTTTGCCTGCACGCTTGCTTGCAAGTAAGAGATTATGGATGGAATCTGTCGAGTGTTGTGATGAAAGAAGTCCATAGTTGGGGATATTCTACTCAGCGAATGTACACACAAGACCATGCTCTGAATTAGAACAGCCCTGCACTGGCTGTGGAGTGATCGTGTGGCCTTCTACTTGTTTTCCCCTTCCAGAGGCCAAGTACGGGGCTGCAAAACAACATGGGATTTTTGAGGGCTTCTGTTGGATCTTTTTAACACTATCTGAATGTAGCGTTTTGTTGGGTTCAGATTATGGCATGTTCTCCTACATGGCATTCACTGTATTGTCGTTAAACTGTAATGTGGAATTTTGCTACAAAAAACCAGAGATTATTTTCCCCCTTGGAGCATCTGAGAGATTCTTGGGTTTTGACATTGGATGCATTACTTCTCTCCACATTTAGCTGGCGGAGACGTGAAAAGCCAGCAGATCCTACAGGTTGTGGAATTCCACCACAGCAGCATAAGATCCAAAAATCATTTCACTGTTCACACAGCAGGTGAGGGGCAGATTCTTGGTATGCGATTTAATTCTACTCCCGTGGAAGTATTTACTGGATTTCAGCTTCCTGAGAGCAGAATGAGATCCAGTGCCTCCTTGAAAACATAGCAGTGATGAAAGCTGAAAGGTGAATAAGAATTTTGTTGTTTCAGACTCTGTGAGTTTCACTGGGAACATTTTGTGAAAGAGGAAACCTTTATCAAAGAGATGCACAGATCTTTCTGCGTTGTTTTCTTGAGCTGAGCTTCTCGACATAAATGTCTCTTGGCCCTGGCATGAAAAAGGTGTAAATTACATTTCACACTTCTGCCTAGGAATTGGAAACCATGTAACCTGCCTATACTGTTGGTTAAAGAAACATTAGAAAAGAGGAGTCTGGACTGTAAGGTGTTAGTCCAGACTGGCACTGATTGATGATATGGCTTAGAGTAAATTATCTTGCCTCCACACCTTGAATCTTCAATCTAAAATATAAACGCCTCACCTCAAAGTATGGTTTTGAAACGTAATTAAAGCTTGTAAGGCATAAATGTATCTTTAGAATAAAAGCACCACATCTTCCAGTAAATAATCCACAACCCTTCAAAAGTACCAACATGTGAAAATAATTGTTGGATAATAAGTAGCCATCTTCATGCAGCCTGCAGAAAGGCAGGGAAAGTGCCTGTGTACCAGGGACAATGTATTAGCAGATTATATACATAGATTTTTTTTTTAAATAATTAGTGTCATTCTGGGAAGAACGAGAATTGATGCTTTAAATGCTCTAAGTAGAGATGCGTGAGCAATAGAGATCAGTCTTACAGTGGTACATTGGCTATGTGGATAACTAGAAATTACTAGCTTCTGCCATTGAATTTTTTTGATCCTGCTTTTCATTTTATGTTTAGAATGCTACAGATACTAGCAAGTTGCTAATATACCCGCAAGTTTTGGTGGTTTTTTTTTTTCCATGATGGTTCCAGATGTTTACTGAGAGCATACACAGCATCACCCGGTGTCCTCCTTCAGTTGATCCCTTGCATCTGTTTGTCTGTCTGCATAACTTAACTAGTGATGTAGTGGCATTGCTGCATCATAATTCAGAGAGTTTTGGGAAACAATAGTAAAAATCAGTAGCAATAACTGCTGTTGCAAGCTGAAATAGTTTTTGAATTCAGAGTGGTGATTTTAATATACAGAGCTGCGGTGTACTTCAGAGAAAAGTGAAGGCCTCTTCTGGCACAGGTAGCCCTGTTGAAGCCTTGCAGTGAGTGGTGGCACGCTGAGCAGCCCGGACATAACTGAAGTGAATTTCATAGGCGGCAATAGGTACCAAGTTCTCTCTTTGGGGATATTTTCAGAGGACAGCAAACTTCTACTTCTTCTTTTTTTTTAAAACAGTTGTTTAATTCCTGAAGGGAAGATACTTGGCAGTGTACTTTGTATTTATAGGAGTGCAGGAAAAAAAGAAACTTGGAGAATGTAAAGAAGGAAAGACCCGAGACAATGTTTTTAACGAAGTGATGAGGAAGTGAATAGGGTTTTTTAAAGGAGCAATGGGAGCTGACAATAAGGCAGAAAGAGAGTAGGAGAGGAGAAAGGATAAGATAAGCATCAGCTAACTCTGCCAACAGCCGAGGATATTCAGGTAACCATGGGAAGGAACAGTTTGGGCATCAAGGAGCCTGTTGCTCTCTTTTTGCAGTAGAACTGTCAGTGTGTTTGCTTTGAAGTTTTATATGTGTATATATTTAGGCAACATTCATAGCTAACTGACACGTGGCTCTGTGTATATGCATAAATGTTTCATTTTGGAATAAAACTCTATGGTTAGTGTCAGAGTAAAGAGAAATTCCTGTATCTTTCTTGGTCAAAACTTCTGGTTCATTTCTTTTAACAGGACTTTGTAAGTGTAGAGAAACTGTGCTGTGTAGTGCAGCACAAAATCTGTCCCTCTTCAAAGCCTGTTGGAAGAACCATTCCATGGAAATTCTGTCTTTTTATAGATGTTTTGATATTTAGCAGGTTTATCTGTTGCTTCGATTTTAGCTGTTACCCATGCATTTTAGGTGAGCCATATCCTTGAGTAGACTGCTTTTCTTTTTTGACACTGGTATTTTGGTTGTCTTAAGGTCATGCTGTTGAAACAAATACAGTAAGAAGTTCAGATACTGGAGTTCTTAGCAAGGTAGCATTCCTCTACAGTATCTAGAAACCCAAACGTCGGAGCACTGAAAGACTGATAGTGTCCCCTGAGTGAAGCAGATTGATCAATTTGTCATTATCTAGTGCTGGAGGAAAAAGTGCACAAAGTAGTGAAGTATAAATAGCAAAAAGCAATTTTTAAATTATTTTGGTCATTGAAAGCTGACCTTAGTTGTTATAAAGTAGGTTCTGTAATTTTGGGCATTTGAGGCTGTACTTAAGCACCTAAATATAAATGACCCGTTCTTCGAGGTGCTCAAAAGCAAGGGTGGGTGTAACGCAGTGGCAGGGTTTGTTTAGGGGGGCAATGTGCTCTTACTAGCAGGAGAAAGAAGATTATTTTCCCAGAACTAATCTGTGTGGTCTGGAGTGAAGCAAGGTGAGCATCAGGATAGCAGGAAGGGAGGGGTGGGTCTGGCTTGGTGTTGATAGGAGGCTAAAATGTACCGTAGCAGCTGAGAAAGAACGTACTTCTGAGCCTGTATTTCTGTGCCTCAGAATACACTAATATTTTCGGGTGTGAGCATTTGAAGTTGGGCATGTAAAGTGTATGTGTTGATTCTTAGGTTAGGCTGAATGATTTTTCTAGTCTCCCTGTAATTTGTTTAAAAATAAAATTTTGTAGGTGTATATAAAGTGATATGGTTTACATTTCTCTTGTATGTATTTATATAATATCTGGATGTTTAAAAATAATACATCTGGCGTAATGATCATCATTCTCTTTTTGGACATTACCCATTAGGGGAAGTGAGGGTATGAATGATGACTTACAGTAAAGAAAAAGTGAGCATTTTGCTAGCTGTGGATGTTAAGAAGCACGTTCCGGCTGAGGCTGTTGGAAGTTGCTGTTCCAGCCTGGAGGGACACAGTCGCTGTGCAAATGAATGGCATTGCGCGTTAAGTCACTGGTAAGGGCCTGGGACAAGAGCTGTGTTCAGCAGTCTTGTGTCCCACAGCGGAGGAGGAGAACGCTGAGGACCTGCTGAGGACAGACTCTGCCTTTGGTGGTGCCTTGGTAGCGCTTCCCCGGCTGTTCCTTCAGCTGGGGCGTTGGCTGCCCTCGGCTGAGCAGCGCACGGGAACATGCCTGGATAGAAAAGAAGTACTTGACTGTAGGTTACCATCTTGTTGGCCAGAGCTGCCGTTTTTGATACACAGCCAAGTTAAGAGGCCGCAGTGAAATCTCTCGTCCGCAGTGGCCACTACCCGTGCAGTTCAGTGTCGGGGGCATCAGCATGCCCCGCTCTCGGCCGCGGTGGCCACTACCCGTGCAGTTCAGTGTCGGTGGCATCAGCATGCCGCGTTGGATGGGGCGGCTCGGCTGTGACCCGGCCGTGGGCTGGAGGCACGTGGCTGCTGTCAGGCTGGGTGACAGAGGTCATCGCTGGCGAGAGAGAGGGGCTAATTAGTGGTGTGGAGGTAATGCCTTTTTAGCCTCTTCTCTTTGCTTTCCTGGTAAATCCACATTTGTAGTTAGTATTTTATGTTGCAGGAGACAGAGGCCAAGAGATTGCTGCTCAGAAAGTGAGCTGGGATGATACGAAGCTATGATCTGTGTTCTTGCAGTGAAGTGCTTGTATTCTGTTTACCTGTAAAGGGTCGTTGTTTCGTATCGTAGATGAAACAGTTACATCTGTGCTCATAGCTGGTTTTGACTCTAAGCACACGCATTCCCAGCAGAATGGCGATTACAAAACAAAAGTGATTCGGTTACACAAGGAATGATCTGCAGCAACTGGCTCAGGCAGGGGCTTCCACAAGCCATGTTATCATTGGTTGCTGTTATTTTTTTTGCCATGAAAAGAGTGTTGGAAGTAACGTGGCATTCACAGGAACTGAGGCTGAGGTATTCAAGGTAAGCAGTGTATTACACGAGCCTCTCTAATGTTTTCTCAATTCATTGAAAAGCTTAAGATCCACGTTTTGCTCCTACATTTTTCTGACTTTTCCTTTAAAAGAAAACATGTTCTTTTTTTGGTTTTTTTTTTTTAGTTCCTCCAGGAGTGATACAAAATGGAGCTCGAGTTCTGAGCAGAGGAATATTTCCTGGAGCCAGGCCATTGCCAATCAACCCTATAGGAAGCATGGCTGTTGCAGTAAGGTAAGAGTGGCTCCTTGCGGGATCTTTGTGAAGTCAATCAGTATTTTGCAGAGAATGTGAAAGTATACGTACGCTCTTGTCAGCAGATATTTTGCTGCTTGCTAATACTTCAGAGGTTCTAAATGAAAGAAAACTCTGCCATCTAACATTCTTGGGTTGTCATTCTTTGCAAGGTAGTTGTGGCATATCTGTCTGTTGAACACTGGTCTGTAAAAACAGTTTTATTTTCACTAGCAAATTGCAGGCACTTTATGGTGAGAATCTCCTACGGTGACCTGTTTTTCTAAGTGCAAATGCTTTTTCCTGCTTCTCCCTCCCTCCTATTTCCTAAAGATCGTTTCCTGGATTAAATACAAGTAAGCAGAATATCAATAATATTAAAGCAAATTCTGAAAGATATCTAAACATATAGCTGTCGTTTTGTTATTAACTTAGGTCTTTGTGAGGCAGTTTCTTTCACTACAGTTTCTATTTCAAGGTTATACTGAAACATTCAAGGGTAAAATGTTGTTTGATGATATTCAACTTTTTCAGAAAGTAGGGCAGTAAGAGACATCTAGTGATGGCAATAAGAACTGTGGTTCAGTGGTTTGCTGTACTGCTGTGCTTCAAGCAGTGATGGTTTATTGGTGGAAGAACAATTTGCCTCGGGTGTAGCTCCATTTTCAGTCAGTCACAACAGAGATTAATTTGGTCAAGTGTGGTGCCAGCGCCCTTCTCTTTCAGAACTCTCAGTATCTGCAACAGCTATATCAGGTCAGGCACTTGGCTATTCTGGGTGGGGTTTCATAATTAGCGCTGACCCTGCTTTGCTGGACTGTTCCAATTACATTCTCTGATCTCAGTGAATGGCTGCAAGGCAGTGAGATAAACTATCTTGATAGCTACTTATTCTGTTGTTATTTACTTGGATTTTTTTTTTCCTGTTTGCTTTTTATTTTTTTATCCCTTTTCAGAAGCAGTGTATAGCCCTTTGGGTGCAGTATTTCCATCCAACAAATGGTGAGAGAGAGAACCTATGACATTCATATACTCTTGGTGCTTAAAATGCATAGAGGGGAAGACATTAATTGGAATAAAATCTGTATTTATTGATGGGCAGCTGTTTCAGCTGTTTTTAGCACTTGCTGCGCTGAAGGGACACAATGCTGAGGGCCATCCTCCAGAAGTCTGCAAGGGTTCCTCTCCATCTTGCTATACCACAGTCTGGCCTTGCTAGCAGCGGAGGTCAACTGTGCTCAGTAGCTGTGCCGCTGGCTTTAGCCAGGACTGGTGTTCTGCTCCAGTGGGGACTGCAGAGCTGTGGGACTACTGGATCCTTCCAGCCCACTTGAAAACTTCATTTTGTATAGACATCCTCAGATTGCTATGTTGTAAGGCTGTACATAGTTAAATTTTATGCATTTTCTGAGGACTAATTCTCATGGTTTTTTCCCAGCAGGTAGAACAGGATCTTTACCAGTTACCTGCTAATGTGGATTTGGGAAGTTAGGGATTTTGCCCCTGCCTTGCTTATGTTCTTTTTGCTCTGTCTTGGAGAAAAGCATTTACAATTAGTTAATGCAGACATTTCTAATTCTTTTTGTTCTCTTCTCCAGCCTTAGGCAGTATTAGAAATAGCTTGCTATGAATATATTCCTGGTCTGCACGATGTCTGCTCATATTTAAGGGCTCCTGCAATATCCCCTCTTCTAATTCTTGAAAAGGGGGCAGGAGGTGGGAGGAAGAGGCTTTGCAAGCCTTCGATTCAGAATTTCATTAGGAAAAAGGCTGGTCTGGGTGCATGATGCCTCTTAGAACATCTTCTGGTCCTCTCAAAACCAGATACATCTGTTACTATTTACTGTAAAAATTACACCCTGTTTCCTTGGTGCTTACCCCTCTCCTCAGATTCACGGGGCCAACTAGCACCTGCTGTGTCGAGCTTTCATGGCATCTCATGAGAATAACTTCTGCTTATCATGTGCAGCAGAGGGAACTTACCACAGCATCCGTGCAGCCGCCCACTGTTGCAGTTAACAGCAGGAGTACTGCTCACACGGAACTGTCATTCCTGCATAGAGGGAGGTGCTCCAGTCGCGCTGGCAGGGGATGGTTTTAGACCTGTTCAGGTGCAAGAAGGTCGATTTCTCCTTCCAGCTTTCGCCAGGAGGGAGATCTGCTGGGCAGCCACGGGAGGTGGTACAGTCCGCAGTTACAGTTATCTGCAGAGATTATGTTCCTCTGCCTATATGTTGAGAAGCCAGGCAGCTTCTTTCCGAGAAGTTTTTACTCAAGTGTATTTTCTGGAGAAGACTTCCTTTGGTGCTCTAGGTGAAAGGCCTAAAACCACCTAAAAAGGTGGTTTTCATCATTCATATAGAGGACATCTAGTATTTTCTTGGTAGCGGATACTTGCATAATAAACTAAACCTCTTAACGGGTTTTCTTTAGTTACTGTATGTAGGAGTTCCAGGTTCTTGGTAAGGTGCTGGTCTTCTGTTGGCACTTCTTTGCTGTCTGAGCTGTTTATTTCATTCGGTGTTTATGTCCTCGATGTCTTAATGGTCTTTGGTTTTGTTGTCCCCCAGACTGCCTGCAAATAACTTGCAGGATGTTGTCCTGTTGTGTGGGCTGCCATTAGTGTCAAAACAGTTTGGTCTTGGGTTAAATTTGCAGTTGTAATTAGGTGGAGTGTTTTCCCTAATCTGGTGTTCAGAAAGGAGGCCAAAATCATAGCATTGGACAAAGATGCTGACATCTGCGATTTCTGATGTGTTAGTTCCCATCAGTTGGAAGGTTTACTGTGCTATTTCTTCTTCAACAGTGCGACTGAATGTGTTTAGCATATTTTGTTCCTGCACAAGGTATCGACGTGTTGCTTTTCCCATGTAATTACATGTAATTGCTTTATTTTTATATATATAAAATAGAGTATGATTGAATTAAGAAGTTTGGATTAAAAAGCCCTACTGAAAACTATTTAACAAACGCAACAAATCCACCACTTTTCATTAATAAAGAATAGCAGTTGAGGAGAGCATCATTATGTTGTAGTGCATTTGGCTTAAATTGCATAAATAGGCCTTTCTTTCCAAACTCATCTACAAATGGAAAAGGCATCCCACACTATTTTTGCTTTGAAAATCATCCTCTGGTGTTAAATCTCCACAGCAGAGCATAATTGGATGTGTTTTGACAGTAGCTTTTTATTTACTTTATTCACACCACTTTGAGTTTGTTTACCATCCATATTTTCCATGTTGTGGCTGACAAGTTTAAGACCCACTCGAAGACAGCAGGGGAAAATAACGCTTCAAAGCTGCACAGCATGTAGCATGTCTCTAACATGAGATCCACCGTATATATTTTTGGAAGACCATATCCCCATGCAGTTCCCTGAGAGAATCTAAAAGCAAGTGCAGTGATAGTCTGGATATGTAGAACACTTCCTGACGCAGCTGGTGAATGAGCCTGCCAGGGGAGGTGCCTCCCTAGACCTGCTGTTTACTAACAGAGAAGGACTGGTGGGAGATGTGGTGGTTGGAAGCCGTCTTGGGCTTAGCGACCATGAAATGATAAGAGTTCTCGGTTCAAGGTGAAATAAAGATGGTGGCCAACAAAACCACCATCATGGACTTTCGGAGGGCAGACTTTGGCCTGTTCAGGACACTGGCTGAGGGGATCCTCTGGGAGGAGAGTCCTGAAGGGCGAAGGGGTTGAGGCAGGCTGGACATTCTTCAAGGAGGAGGTCTTAGAGGCACAGGAACAGGCTGTCCCCATGTGCCGCAAGACGAACCGGAGAGGAAGACCACCAGCCTGGCTGAGCAGGGAGTTCGTGCTGGGACCCAGGGAAAAAAGGAGTGTCTACCACCTATGGAAGAATGGACAGGCAACTCCAGAGGAACACAGGGGTCTCATTAGGTCGTGCAGAGAGGAAATTAGAAAGGCAAAAGCCCAGCTAGAACTCAGGCTGGCCACTGTTGTAAGGGACGACAAAAAATGTTTTTACAAATACATCAACAACAAAAAGAAGGCCAAGGCGAGTCTCCATCCCTTATTGGATGCAAGGGGGAATATTGCCACCAAGGATGAGGAAAAGGCTGAGGTGCTTAATGCCTTCTTTGCCTCAGTCTTTAATAGTCAGACTGGTTATTCCCAGGGTAGTCAGCCCCCAGTGCTGGTAGATGGGGAAGGAGTGCAGAACAGAACTCCCATAATCCAGGAGGAAGCAGTTAATGACCTGCTACACCACCTGGACACTCACAAGTCTACAGGGCCAGATGGGATCCACTCAAGAGTACTGAGGGAGCTGGCAGAGGAACTGGCCAAGCCACTCTCCATCCTCTGTTAA